CCCCCCGCTCCGCGTCCCCTTGTTCAAGCCGCTGCTCTCAGATCGGGCCCCTCCCGCCTTCTCTGCCGATTCATTAACGGACCAAGAACGTCTCTTGATGGCAATCCATTTCAAGGCCCGGAAAGCGAAGAGAGAGGCTGAATGACTCAAGTCAACTCACACCCGGACTTATCTGGTCCAAAGGGGGGAGGGCCCCAAGCCCCATCGTTTCTGCTCATCATCTCTTGATGCATGGTGAGCTCTTTGAAGAACTCAGCCTCGCCACAAGGGCTGTTATCAGCCAGTGGCTTCCCCTCGCTGGCAGCTGATGCTTTTTCTGCAACATGATCGTGGCCTGTCATCGTTATCTCCCTCTCCCAGCTTCCGGCCTTTCAGATATCTGGACACCTGCCACGGCCACTAAAGGGCTGTGGGTCACGTCCTGTTCCGCGGTCTAGAGCCGGGAAGTACCTCTGGCCACCCCTGAGAGGCCCGGCTGGCCCCGGACGTGTTCCCCCTTGGAGGTTCCCCCCCACTCTGGCCGCCTGCCTTCCCTCCCGAGCTCCGTGGGAAAGGTTCCCTGGGGGGGGGATGCTGGGCCGAGGAGCCTCCTGGAGGACCAGGGAGCCCTGCCCGAGCCATCAGCCCCCTGCAAAAGCTTGTGGGGGACGGCCAAGGGCGTTTGGCTTTTCCACCTTCGTGCCCCGCAGAGAGTCGGTTTTTAGAAACACATCCCCCTGAGGAGGGGGGGTCGGCCCTCCCCCTCGGCGCTGTGTCCAGGCTGGCGGGCTCTCCGTGTGCGGAATGGTCAAGAAAGGACCCCTGTGAAAGCACTTGGGGGGGGTGGCTTGCGTCTGTGACTCCCTTGCCTCCTCTGGGTAAAGGAGGGCTCAGGACTTGCCCTCTTTCCGAAGCCCAAGGACCCCGGGCAGCCTCGGAGCCCCGTATCGCTCCATCTGCATGGAAGAGGCATTCGCTAGCCCTGCCTGTCGTCCCCGATGGCCGCCAGAGAGGGGGCTTCCCGGCCCTGTCCGCTTGAGCCGCTGAGCGGGATCAGCAAAGCTGAACCTGAGCCGTCCGGGGATGCGGGAGCTTGACGGCTGGTTTAGAGTTAAGCCGGCGCTTAAAGCGTTGCTAGCTTAGCCTCCCCAAGAGGGGTCCCTCTGCACCCGCGCTCGCCTGTGTGCTTTCTGTCTGCTTCCCGGTTCTCTTTTTCATCCAAGTCTGGCAGATTTGGGGCCTGCAAAGGTAGCAGCAAGAAACGCACGATGGGCCTGACGTCTCTGCCAAGGCCTGGCCAGAAAAGGGTGTGCTCTCCTCCCTCCCTTCCTCCGAAGAACACACGGCAAAGAGGAACATTTGCTTGGACCGCTTTTCCGAGGGCATGCTCAACTCTGAACCCACCAGCGTTTCCGGAGTGAGCCTTGGCATGACGAGAACTCTGCCA